TGTTAAAAACACCAAAATCAACATTTAAATGCACCATATTAGCGAGCGATGACCATGAAAAAAGAACACAGACCGTTAATACTATTAATCTGTACCCATTTGTCAGGTGTCTAATCACATAAGAAGATTGACCTCATACTATATCTCTTTACTGCATGCATTTCATCTAACTTCAAAATATGCGTTCTCACTGATCAATAGAAACGATAACAAATGTAGTGCTTAAGTACGAAATCATTTGTTCTCTAAAATTGAAGGCTTAACCGGAAAAGAAAGATAAAAAACAACGAGATATTAATCTTCCTGGTTCAATTAAGACCGCAAAACCTGTGTTAAAAACCATTAAATTATATGACACAGTACTTTACAGAACATTTTATGACTCAGCGTATTGTTTACTCTGAAACATAAAATTTTAATGATAAAATTACACAAAATAAACACCTGTCATCCAAATAATGAGAAAACAATTCTACGATTGTTCAATTTGCTTCTATAGAACAATTGCAAGAAAATACATACATGTATTTAATATTTCCTTTTTCAAGGGGGAAATCACGCCGTTCGTCACCCAAACAAACAAGATGGCGGATGCAGCCAAAAAGTAAGTTTTTCCCTTTTTTTTAAAACTGTTTCTATTTAAAAACGCCATACTCTCGCTTCGAACTTCAACCCCCATTTCAATGAAGTAGGGGGACGGAAACATCATGAAAAAAATCCGTGTGGCGGGGAAATTTGTGGAAAGGTGTTTAGTATTTCAATTAGAACACGCCTTTCGAGAAAAAACGGAAAACCCTTCTTTTTGGCTGCATCCGCCATCTTGTTTGTTTGGGTAACGAACGGCGTGATTCTCCCCCGTGTTTTTGTTAAAAATGTAGAGATAACTTTTAATTTTCTATTAACGTATTCAGTTTATACTGCAGCATCTGCCATCCTTATGCCATTTATACTATGCGTCAAGAAGACTCCCTTTATATAAGCCATTTTCTTAAAGATATTCATAAAATTTACTTATATGTACGCAGAAATTAAATTTAGATACAAACAACCATGTACAAAATATAATTAATTTCTTAGTATTCCTTTGGACGTGAATACAAAAAAGCATTAAAGATTGATAGGGTGAGAATAAACATAAAATGTATTTATAAAGACTTTTTATACAAATAACAAAAAGCACTTTTTAAATTTTGAATTTCCTAATGTAATCAAATCCCCAAATTTGTATTTTTTTAAATCAATTGATTTTAGACCCGGGTTTTAGGGGGAAAATAAAAAAACACTTTTTAAAACCCAACAAAAGGGTCATACCAGAAACCACCCCCCGGACACTACACCCGGGTAGGGCACTTTTATTTTTAAATTTTAGAATGTTTAAAACAATTTTATGTACAGTAACTATTTTATATAATAACTTTATTTGGTTTGTACATTTTCATCCTTTATAAACATCTATATTTTTTTTTAAAAAAAGAACTTTGGTAAAAAAAGAAAAACTTTTGTTTGTAATAAAGGGAAAACCGGGTTTTGGTAACCAAACTTTACGGAATGGGCGTGAAAAAAGGGTCTGGGAAAAAAACCAAAAACAGGAAAAAGGAGTTAAAAATTCCATCTTTTGGGTGGCCGGGAAAAAACAGCCCTGAAGGATTTTAAAAGGGAATTTTTTAAGAAAGATTTTTTCTTTTTTAGAAATTTTTTTGAAATTTAAAAAATCCCCTTTGGGGGGATTAAAAAATATGAATTTAAGTCTGTAAAATATATAAATTTTTCAAAGTCACGGGGCCCGGGGTTTTAAGTTTGTTTGGTTTCAGGGTTTTAAAAAAAGTTTTTAATTTTGTTGATTTTTGGGATATTTTTTTTGAAGATAAAGAAATGCTATTTTACATGTTTTTACTCTTAGGTTTTGTTATTTTTTTTTCAGGGCGTTTTGGGCGAGGGGATTGTAAAAACCCTTTTTTCCCAGAACTCAACAATTATTTTCCAGAAAAGCTTTAAAGATTTTTTTAGAAAAACCCCTTCATTTTGCCGAAAAAGTATTTTTTTTTATTATAAGCCCATCTTTTACACTGAAGTGTAAGATTTTTCTTTTGCAAATGATAATTATGTAACAATAATTTTATAAAGAAACAAAACAGATTGAATGAAACTTCTTCGTAGGTATGAGGTATTTTGACTTGTCATATAAAATTTATAAATATGTACTCGTATATCACAGTCATGGTAATAAAGTTGCAAGTATAGTCGCTGCTGAAAAAGGCAACAACATTTGCAGCGCCGGAATTGCATATGATGCTACTATTGTAGGTTAGTTACTTTAGATATATAGAGAATATTGAATGAGTGTAGTTTAATACTTAATTTATTGAACGAGTTGAATAAAATCATATTATGCGAGCCTCTGGCGAGCATAATATTGTTTTATTAAACTCGTTCAATAAATTAAGTATTGAATTTACACGAATATAATATTCTTTTGATCACATATATAAAATAAAAACAGTAAACTGTCAAAATTAGTATTTTTTTCAACGACGCACCTATAGCTAACATAAGCGCGCTTTAAAATGGCGTCACGTCAAAGTGTTATTACACAAGTGTAATATCGTTTTTAGCTCGACTATACGAAGTATATGGAGAGCTGTCCTACTCGCCCCGGCGTCGGCGTCGGCGTCGGCGTCCGCGTCCGCGTCCAGATTTTAGATTAAAGTTTTGGTGCAGTAAAATATTTTTCACTATAACTTTGTCATTTCTTAAGGTATCAACTTCAAACTTCAAATATATGTTCCTTATCATCAGCCACATCTTATGTGACAAGGTTCATAACTCTACCACCAATATTTTCAGATTTATCTCCCTTGAACTTAGAATTTTCCTTTAAAAAAATACTATTTTTACTGATACTTCTTTATTTCTTAAGGATCAACCTCATACTTCAAAATATATGTACATTATCATCATCCCCATCTTATGCACAAGGTTCAATCACTCTAGCACCAATATTTTCAGATTTGATCTCCCCTATAACTTAGAATTTTCCTCAAAAAATACTATTTCTTACTGTTTTCTTCTTATTTTCTTAAGGGATCAACCTCATACTTCAAATATATTTACGTTATCATCATCCCCCATCTTATGTGACAAGGTCCATAACTCTAGCACAATATTTTCAGATTTATCTCCCCTTGAACTTAGAATTTTCCTCAAAAAAATACTATTCTTACTGTTTCTTCTTTTATTTCTTAAGGATCAACCTCATACTTCAAATATATTTACGTTATCATCATCCCCATCTTATGTGACAAGGTTCATAACTCTAGCACCAATATTTTCAGATTATCTCCCCTTGAACTTAGAATTTTCCATAAAAAATATTATTTTTTGACTGTAACTTATTTATTTCTCGAAAGGGATCAACTTCATACTTCAAATGTATTTACGTTATCATAATCCACATCTTATGTGACAAGGTTCATAACTCTAGCACCAATATTGCAAGAATTATCTCCCCATAAACTTAGATTTATTTACTAGAAAAATGTTATTTTTATTTTAACTTTTTATTTTTTTAAGGTATCTACCTCAAACTTCAAATACTTATTCTTATCATCAATTACATTTTATGTGACAATGTTCATAACTCTTGAAGCAATATTTACAGATTTATTCTCTTTGAACTTAGTTTTCTTTAAGAAATATATAATAACTTCTTATTTTTTAAGGTATCTACTTCAAACTTCAAAATATATATTTGCGTATCATTACACAAAATGTTGTTGGTAGGTCCATAACTCTAGCATGACTATTTCTAGAATTATTCCCCTTGATCTTGGATTTATGTTAACAAATGTTATTTTTTTACTATAACTTAATACATAATTATACATAATTGATTTTTCTTTCATAGTTTTGTCCTCCTTACTGCGTCCAGTATTTTATTAGTCGAGCTTCGCTGTCTCCTGTGACAGCTCTTGTTATTAAATGTCTTCATTACACTCCTGCGCCGCGGTTTATGTGATGAAAAGTCATTATACTATATCTTTAAATGTTCTTTTGTGGTTATAATTAAAGTGAAATACAAAATCAAACAGACAAAAAGAATTAAATTCCTACAATATTTAAATTACACTCTCATGCATCAATCTGCACGGAGTTTAACATAACTTTAACGTGACAAAAAAGAAAATTTGCTATTTCCCTAAATTTGAGTAAATTTTTTTTTCCCACTTTTTCCTTTTTCATCTGAACTTTAAAAGTGATGTATTCCCAATCTATTTTTATAAATTTAAATACCATAGAGCAAAGTTTTTGGGTTTGAATATTTTTCGTCAAAATTGTATAATTATTTTTTTTTCCCCCAGTGATTTAAAACTTTTGAGCTTGTACTAAATGGGACGAACCTTAACAAATTTAGAGGGGATCGATTTCAAGTCTTTTTACATAAAGACCAAAAACGACATTTTTTATACATGCCTTTTTTTGACAAACATTTACGAATTGGACATCTCCATAAGAAGCCGCAATTGCTCGAGAGCAACCATTATTATCCATTTTTTCTTGCTTGCTTATTTCATTTTGCTACTTTTTTTATCAGTTATCAAATCAATGTGGAAATTTGTATTAGAAAATATTTTCTTTTTTTTACATTAATTTTTTTGAATTTTTTATAAATAACTTGTCCACTTTTATAGGTAAAGATTTTATGTTTGGCGATTTTGCTCTTATTCATAATTACGCACCATTTATTTTTAAATAAGGTAAAAACGTAATGAAAAATCGCCTTTGAAAATACTTAAGGGAAGTTTGGCTTTTATGGAATATTCACTGTACAGCTTCTAAACTTTATACCCCCTGAAATTAAATATTTAGCTCCTAAAAATGATTATTTGCCCTTTTAAAGGTTCGAAATGAACTTGGTACAATCCATTTGTTCCTGCTGTTCCCTAGTGGTAATGCACTGTCTCATAACAGGAATACAATAACTGTTAACTGTATAGGACAGGGAGGGTCAATACCCTATGATACAATTATAGACACAAGTGTTCTGACATCTGGTTTAAGGGACGGAAACAATATTTCAGCACCATCAATGGTAATGGTATATGCACACTTAGATTTTTTTATCTAATGTTTCTTTATTTCGCTCATTTTAATTTTTATAATTAACACAATATGGAGCTTTCTTTTTTACATTGTAGTAACTATCCGAGAGTCACCGGTCCATTCAAAACCAAGGATCATTTGTCATAATATCATACAAATGCATTTACTTTAATGACATTATTTTGCATGTATTGGTTTAAGGTAACAACATCCCAAGGAAATAAATGCGTTAAGGATTTTAACGGTCTTTCAGCGGCGGTAGCTCAAGTTTCCGGTATAATAGCTTTAGGAATACAGGCAAAGTATGTGGCTAATATAAATCACTATAGATATAACTCGCTTTTTTATCATGGAATGATGTAAGTAATCTTGTATGTAAAATATATGGTTTTTTTTGCAAATCTATGAAAAAAAAATATGTTTAAACTAAAAGGAATCCAAACAAAAGTTACTAAAACAAGAAATATATGAGAGCGATTTAAAATTTATTAGTTGTTACTCAAATACATGTCAAGGTATTATCTGTAATTATTTTGATGCAAATCATTTAAATATCGTTTAATTTTAATTTGTTTCATTTATTTGAATTTGTTCTTAAATTTTAATCTTTTTTTTATAATTTCATGTTCAATAATAAATTCAGCGATAGTAAATTAGAACTTTGTTTTACAGAGTGTGTAAAACATTTGGGTGTGCTTATTTTTTTAGCCCAAACCTTACCTTAAGAGATGTACAACATATATTGGTGAAAGCCTCAGACGTTGAACATTTGGAAAAGAAAATAGTATTCTCGACAAATGGAGCATCCTTAAAATGTAAGAGAGTTTGTATATAACAAATCAGAGGTATTTTAAAAATAATATCAAAATATTTAGAGTACTATCTAAAATTCAAACTAATGCAGTTTTGCTTTTATATCTGAAAATATTGGGTGTTTTAAGCTGTTTTCTGATGCTGATTAGATTTTGTGAATTTAGTATTTATACTGTATCTGAGAATTGTGAAATAATTCAATTTTTGTTCTTCATTTTCTGGCAATTTTATTGTTTTGTTTGGTCATAAATGATGTGAGTTTTTTGTTTTAAGTGTACATAATATGTTGATCAAAGTTTGTTGTATTAATGTATATTTGGATTTGAGATAGAACAAGATAAAAAATGCTTGAAAAATAGTGTTAACTAATCAATTACATGTTAGTTTTCCAACTGAGAATATTTAAATTTTAAGTCAGGCGGTGCTGCCCAGCCTCCATATCTTGGAAATTGGTTCTAGTTTCTTATTACCAAATTTTTCCTTAGATTAAAAAACATTAAGGCAGACATTCTCCTGACACGAGGGTTGTTCAAAAAATAATAGGACTGCAGTTCTACTGTTAATATTTATTTACGTATACAATTTTACAAGAGCCAAATACCGGACCATTTTCACTATATACAGTGAAACAAATCAATATAGTATGATCATAAATGTCAATTCTTCGAACATTCAAAATGATTAGGTGTACGCGGCCCGGCGCACGTTAACAATACAGTTAATAAAAGCTATAGAAAGGAGGTAAGTCTAATACTGAATTTAGTGAACGTGTTGAATAGAATTATAAAGTGCGGGCCTCTGTCGAGCATAACATTATTTTATTCAACTAGTAAATTTAGTAATAAACTTATTCGAATTTAATATTCTATTCATCACATACCCAAAATTAAGTGAAAAAGAACCATTTATTTCATTGAGGCTCCCGAATTGTAACGTTAACATTTAGCGCGTTTTAACGTTACGTTAAATATATGCATGATCTTGCGATACCATTTTAAGGAGTCGCAACAGCGGCACGGGCATGTGATAAATGTCGTTCATGACGTCGCAAAAGAAATACAAAATACAAGCGTCATTCTTTCAGAAAGAAAGTATTCTCCCTAGTGCTCTTTGTGTCTTAATCATGTTCATTTAATCAGGACTCATTTGTGGAAATGAAGAGAGAGAAAGCGATGGTATTTTCAGTCCACTCCCCGAAACAATTGGCTGGTTGTCGGCCCCTCTCTTTTTTTCCTGAATTTTGAGTGATCTTGGAACTAAACAAACATGGACTTGAAAATTGTAATGTTTCTGAAAATATTGTATTTATTTCCACATGTTACGTGCTTAACGATATTATTGTGTAAAGTAAAATAAAAATATTTATGAATTGAAAAATATTCTCTCTGAGCACAGAAATGGGAAAATAATACTAATTATTACCGAGTATCACTATTGTATTAACTTATTGTTAACACGTTAAAAATATTATATAAAACAGTGTTAAACCACGTGGCTAAAATTCTATCATTTGGTCAGAAACGGAAACTAATTAGTAGGCTCGATATAGACATTTAATATGCCAGACAGTTCACGAACCGTCGATCCGTTTATAGCCCTTTTGCAATTGACGTCATTCTAGTCCCGTCCATTTCCTCACCCTTTCATGTTCGTTGTCGGTAAATTGTTTGCTGAAAGCGACCTGTTCTGATGGCAGATAAATTGTCCTGTGTTAATATGAACATGACAATATATTAACAGACAACTAATTATAAATAAAGTAAAAGCAAAACCTCATAACCTTATTTGATGTGCTGCGGAGGGTGCATGTTACCAAGGTTATTCTATATCACAAGGTTCAAGCGTTTAGCACAATAATAAACTTATGCTCAAATTGAAGAACATATGTTACGGTCGCTGTTTATATGAAAATACTCTTAATCAAATGAAAAACGAAGACGCAAAACTCTTCGTAAACAACCCTTGAATTTGTTAAAACATCTATTTTTTTACTATTTGTTTTAAAAACAATAATTTGTATCATAATTAACCAATTAGTATTTATATAATGCATAGCATTTGTTAAAGGACTTATATAGAAGACCTAGTTAGGGGAAAAGTTTAGGAATAACTTTAAAACTTTTTCCTAAAAGTTCATCAGTAAATAAATAATCGTCATGAAGCACTGGATATCATTGTTTACATGTACTGGGTTTCGCCACAAACTCTAAGGTATATTTTACTTTTGTGTATACCAGGCATCATATAGGTCCCTTAAAAAGGTCTGAGTTCGATTTACATTTAAGTACAATGTTCTAAATGTATTACACTATGAACAAAGGCAAATATGAAATTTTTAGTTTACATAAAATCGCAGCAAATTATTAAACATGTAATAGGGTGTCACTGTTAGTTATATTGATAACTGATTAAAGAATTTGACAACCAGTGAAATATCTTTCAATTAAAATATTTAAGAAAATAATGGCGTTTCGTTATTTCTCGTTGACAATAGATCTTAAACATTTAATTGAGTCTTGTGATCATTAGGGTCTAAACGCTGATTTATAAATCATGTTGTCGGTCGATGGCGGAACAAAATTGTAATGACTGTTTTAATTAGATTTCGAAGAAAGACGGTTAAGTGGATTGAGCCTGAGATACGACAAAAACATGTTAAATTAGGCTTTAAAATCAACAAACACAATGGTCTTTAGTTGTTATAATCTTAAAACTTGTGAGTTGGATTACACTAAAATCAAGAATTGTTCGGTCATTTGCTATCGCTCCCTTCCTTGAACGATTCGCAATTGTTTTCCTAATTAACAGTACCTATGATAGTTAGAATTTAAGTATTTTGGTGTTCAAAACTTTTACCATATTATGTCTCATGGAGATATTATTTGTAATGGTATGGAAATATTGGCTAAAAATGAATTGATTATGGAAGACAATGCATTATAAAACTGCTGTTCATTATTGACCGTGAATAATATAATCATTCTTCAAGTTGATTGATTCATGTATATATACGTGGACATGATTTTATTCGTTGACTTTTTGCATTCAGTTCAAATGATTGAAAAAATCAAGTTAAATATGGTAACAACAATTATGACAGAAAGCTATTTTATAATAGTAATTGAAACAAATGTAAAAGACCTTAAAAGTTTTGAAGATTGGTTATCGTGTAACAAATTTATCTTATCGATTTTGTTTTCGCTGTTTATAGATCTTGCAATAACAGTGCTGCACATAATTATTATTGCATTTGCAGTTCATAACATTTTTGGTTTCGGTCTGCTCAATGCTGGTAAATTTGTGGAACTGGCTTTGAATCACAAGACAAGTCCAGCACTTTTATCCCGGAATACGGTTCCGTACAATAGAAGGTAGCACTGGATATAATCATTTTCAGAAAATAGTCAAGAGCATGACAAAGAATCCATTAATGTATTTAGACATTTCATTAGGTAAATTCTAACAGGCTCTCTTTGGCAGTCAATAAACGTACTTTACAGGTTTGCTTTTTCAAGACATTTCTTTATGACAGAAAATCATGTAGGTTCGTCTGCAATATATACATGTACTCGTAGAGTAGCAAACTTGTGTGTCTAAAAAAAATTTTTTTTGGAATCACCCTTCATACGCGCTTTATTTCCCTTTAAAACCCAAAAAACTGGGTTTTATTAAAAATTTAAAAATATATTTTTATTTTCTATTGAGAACTTAGGTGTCTTACACAAATTTCAGGTTTTCTCACCCTGTGATTTTTCTAAGTATAAAAATATCAACTGCGAGATCGCTAAACTTACAACATCAACTGAACATTTCATAGTAAAAATAACTTCGCCCAGCGGCACGCTTTCGGAGATGACAGCAGATGTCGACAAGGTTGTCTAATTCTAATTCACTCATGCTTATGATGTCGCATATTATTGTTTCAAACATACCTAACATAATTTGATAAACACAGTTTTATAGGCATTTATATTTTAAACCTTGCCAAATTTAGTTGTTCAATTCATAAAAACGCCTTGCTCAACTCACTTAATATTCTTCATGTGTAATATGTTTCCGAAGATAAATATTGGTATTGACAAGTTTTCGTGCAAGTCGTGGCATTATTTTTATATTTTTGTCGAAATTTAAAGGGTATCCAATACTATCATTGATTCGAAAAATGTCTTTTGTCCTCTGTTAGCAATCAATAAATATGACTTTGTATCTATTCTGGACTGACCAGAAAAGGGATTTCTTTAAAGAATGCAGTACTTTTTATCCTTCTTTTTTCGTTAATGACAAAAATGAACAATTACCTGCTTTATTATGATGTAAATTTCAGAAGAAAGCCCTTTACAAAGGGGAAATTTTCGTAAGGGTTTCATTTCGGGGGATGAATCCATATGACGTGGGAAATGATTAAACAAATACACAAACAGGGTAAACTTAAAAAACATAAATCTTTTGAAAAACTGTTTTATACGGGGAAATTATTTTTCCACTTTTTAACATTTTTCTTTTCTTTAAATAATTATACAATTTTTAATTGTTTCTTTTAAAAAAAAAAAAATTTTTTTAATTTTATCATCTATACTATAGATAAAGCTTTTTTCTGTCGGGCTTTTTGTGCTTTTTGATAAACGCTTTTTAATGTAATAAAAAGGTAAATGATAAAACGATTTCCCTATTTACTTTAATTTTGGACCATATTATTGTTATTTTATTTTCTGTTTTTATCAGCAAACGTTTAATCCAAATATATACATATCAATATTCAGTTTTATGGTGTTTTCATATTGTTGTGTGAAAATAACTTTTAAAAAAATCTTAAATATCTTTATTAGTTATAATGAATTTGATAAATCGATAAAACAATGCAAAATTCTTATTAATCATTATGAATTTGAATTCTTTTGTAGGTGATACGATTGTTCACAATATATCTATAATGTTGCATGGAACAAGACAATCTAACACGGCCTGTGAAAATAGGGACACTTGTAAAAAGCCAAGAGGTGCTGAATCCAATCATCTTTATTTTCTTTTCTTTCTTGTTCTTCTCCCTTTCACTGTCGCTGTACTTGTGATCTGGATTTTGCGCACAAGAAAACCTAAAGGAAGCCATGAAAGAGTATCTGGTCAAGATCCAGATGTTGAATTGTAAAATGCAACCAAATGTATATTTTTTTTGTTTGTTTATATATAGTGAACACTATTTCAAGATTATTCCCCATGTTCTTATGGAATGTTCTTAACATCATTTACGTCTTTACTGAATTTGATTTTTATCAAACAATCAAGGACCTGAGCAGTTCTGTTCTATTCAAGATCCAATAAGGTTCTTTAAAATAAACGAAATTAATTAGGTATTGTATGTTATATCCAAATGTCAATTGTTAACAAAGCTAGACTTACCAAACTTAGTCATTGATATGTCGGTGAATGACTAAAGGTCGTTTTTCCCTCATGTTTGTTTGCTAGTTTTCTCCTATATTCAATCAGAAAACGGCCTAATTTTTATGAATCATGGCTATTTACTCATACATTTAAGAAGTAATCTTATTATTTTTTTGTTGCATCACAAATAAGATATAGATATTGTCCGGAAGCATCCTGGTGACAATCTTAATGTTCTGTAAGAAAAAAGAACTCCTAATTAAGAATAACAAACCTCTGATTAAAAATTGTTACACCTAAGTAGGAGATTAAAACTTCTAATACAGAGAAATAAATACCAAGTTAGGATTTGAACCTCTATTTAGGAGAGAAAAACACTTAATAAAGATTTATTAACTACTTATTTGGAGAAAAAAACGAACAAGGACTTTGTAACTTCTATTTTAGGCGTTTAAAAACTTGATTGACAGAAGAAATCCTAATTAAGACTTTGTAACATCTAATAATGAGTATAAAGAAGCCTAATTTGGACTTTATGAACTCCCGATTGGGAGAAACAATCTTATTAGGAGAAATAAAATCCTAAGTACTTATTCCTAATTGTCACTCCTTATTTTGAGTTTAAAAAACTTATCAGAATATATAGTTCTCATTAGTTCTTGGTATCAAACGTTATTGGGAATTTAAAGTTCTTATTAGGACATTATTTCTCCTTCCTTATTAGACTTTTCAAACTTCTAATAAGGAGAGATGACTTTATTTCTCCTAAACTTCTACATGTAGTTAGAAATTACCAAGTCCTGATTAGGCTTCAAAAACTGCTTGTTTTGAGTTGTTGTAGAACATTTGGTACGTTCCTGTACTTTTCGGACTGGCTGTCACAATGGTATTAATAGACACGGAACAATATATACTTTATTGATGACACACTGCTTTGGCACTTAACTGGAAATTGTTAACAAATTCAGTCATTCATTTTTTTTGCAAAGCAGGCGGCATTTTATTTTTGATAAGGCTTTAAGTATCTTTTTTATTTTTTAACTTATAACTAGTAAATCTTTATGTTTTTCATTTTTCTTATTTGTATCAGACAACTTGTGAGTATCTTCCTCCCCTAATAGTATTAATATTGTTACATCGAATTAAACAATGTCTTTGATTCTGTTGCAATTTCAACTGACTATGAACAAATGCGTGTATGTATTTGTCCGTTTTAACAGAAATTGATAAATTAAAACAATAGAAACATCTTAAAGCTGCTCATACAAAAGTCATGCTTGCTTCAAATTCTACAAATGTAATATTTTTAGGTAAGCATTATAATGGTTTATTTATTTGAATGAAATTTAATAACGGGTACACATTACGATAATTTTAATGCAGTGATAATTGTATAGAACATTTAGTTTATGGCATTTTTGTAGTTGGGTGGTTCCAATATTCCTACTTGAATAATGTTGAATCACCCTTAGGATATGTTGCCTGATTTTTAAATTTGTCTTTTGACGTCTTATCTGTGATATGCAGGCTTCATAACCTCTGATCCCCTTTCAAAATTCCATTTTAATTTGTTACGCCCATTGTTTTCTCGTTTAGGGCACACGCTTTTTATTACTTGTGGACCATACGCCGCTTTTCATGGAATGGCGCTTCTGTGTCACATTGAAGGTTCCATGAAAACCGCCGTATGAACACATCTGCAGATGTTTCTAAATTCAAAAGTTTACTATATCATGTTTAAATGTTGAATTCTGCTTAAGCCGGTGCTAGGGGGCGTGGACGGTAACTTGCACTTTCCAGTACCGTCCATGAACAGGCTCAATCAAACCGAGCATGCAACATTTTCAATTTTGTCGTGTTGGGCTTTCTTAAGGGATTCTGTATTTATCTATTTTACTGAATGCTGCTAATGTATTTTTTTCAGTCAACTAAAGTATACCTCCATTCTTTGACTGATATGACTTTGTACATACAAAAACCATATATTTATCAATTATTCGGTATCGCTAATTGACTCAATGTATTAGTAAGAAATAAACAGACTCGTTTTATAGCAAAACTACTTATCAGTGGCGTTTAAGTGTTGTAAATCAGTAAAACTCAAAAATAATAATTTGTTTATGATCCATATCAATGAATTTTCAAATACACTTATAACTTAATCATTATTATACTGGTACAAAAGTGAATCATCATTTTGCTATTTCGTTTCGAGTAAAATTTTGGCTGAAGAAAACGATGAAAGAGGTCAAATATATTCTCAACTTCTATAATCTGTACCCTTTAATTTGTCAGTCAAGTGTTAGTATTTGCAGAGTGAATACAAATGTTTATATAAATGAAGCATGTTACATAAATATAATGTCATCCTAGCCTATCTTTATTTATAAATCATGCCTATACACTTGTCAATACGCTAAATGAGATAAATGTAGACATCAACATATCTGCATATGATATTTGTTCCATCTGAATAGATTGTGCAACGAATGTAATTTGTTTTGCAATTATGTTGTGTTATACATATCTCATGCTCTTTGAAAGGTCAGTGTTGTATATTTGTTAGGTTTTTAAATATTCAAGAAATAAAAATTATGTGAAGTATCTATAATCCATTTAAATCTTATCATAATTTAGATCTTACAAAACCATTTGTAAGGAACCAAACATTTTAGTTGAGATAGAATTTGATAAAATGCTGCCTTTTGGACAGCAAATATACTTTAAGTTTATAAACAATTTATGTGTATTTAAGTTCTGTTTGTTTGTTTTTCTGTTGTTTTTTTTTTTTGTTGTTTTTTTTCTGTCATTTTTTTCTTAATTGGCAGTATGTTGCAAGACAATATTTTAATGAACCCCACTACTGTGTTACTGCAAATTCCAGGGCAGATTACTGAAAAAAAATCACTTAAAATGTGTTTGTGTTATATTCTAAATATTCTAATATCATGCAAAGTTTAATGCTTTCTTTTTTTAAGTTTCATTGATTCTATTTGACTGCATGACATCTGTTGCAATATTAACTGTAAATAAGAAAACTGAAGTTTTAACTGTTTGTGTTAAAACGGCCATCAACTTTAAATTTTTAAAGGTTAAATATGTATTGTTAGATAAATCGTTTCATATCATTGTCAAATACAAAGAATTAAGGTGGAAAATAAAATTTGCTAGGGATAAAATACATAAACTATAACGAAACATCTCGATACCTTGATTCTCCCGGTCTGCTCTCTATATTCAAATTTAATTATTAAAGCGGACGATACGTCTCCCGATCTGTCTAAGAAGGCTTAGCAGTGATATGTTGCACTTATTAGCCAGTGGCTAGTGGATGATAAGTTACCACTACATTTATCTTATTTGCGTCTAAACATGGACTTGGGTCAAATTCATCCCTTGATATTACATGTAATGACACAGTTATTAAACCAACTTCGCCGGTGAAATATTTCGGAGCAACCATTGATCAATTATTATTTTTTGATACAATGGTTAGGTCAGTGTTGCAGAGGGCTAATGCACGTAAATATATCGCGAAAAGGATTACCTTACTCAACATACTATGAAACTCCAAGTTATGTCCGTAATTAAATGTCACTTTGATTACTGCTGTTCAATATGGTTTCCCAGTTTAAAAATAAACTTCAAGTGACTCGGAATAAGATGATTAGGTTTGTACTTGATCTTGATGCCAGGTCAGATATTGGTTCCAATCACTTTCGCTCACTTATCTGTTTACCAGTCAATAAACGTGTAGATCGGATCATCCTTTGTACGGAAACGTTCTGGTGCCAATTTAACATGTTTTATAAAAAGGAGAACTCCTACGTAGGAGATAAAAATGAAACCTAATAAAGAGTTTATAACTTCTTCGTAGGACTTTATAATTTCTACCTAGGACTTAATTACTCGTACGTATGAGATAAATAAAGAGCTTAATTAGGAGTTTGTAAGTCCAACGTAGGAGTTAATATGTCCTACATAGGACTTTATAACTATTACGTAAGACTTTAAAACTCCTACGTAGGACTTTATAACTCCTACGTAGGAGATAAAAAAAGCCTAATTGGAGTTATCAAGTCCTACGTAGGACTTATAGGACATATAAAGTCCTAGGTAGGAGATACAAACTCCTAATTAGGTTTATTATCTCCTACGTAGGAGTTATTAAGTCCTACGTAGAACTTATAAAGTTCAACGTAGGGATTATATACTTCTAATCAGGTTTTTTTATCTCCTACATAGTAGTTGTTTAGTCCTACGTAGGAGTTTAAAGGAGGCTTCTGTACCTTTTTCAGGTTTTTATCTTGCTACAGATTACATGGAAGAGTATTTCATCCCACAGGACACTTCATTCTTACATGATCAGGTTAAGTAGCATGGGTGCATTTGCAATCCCTAAGGTCAAAGGTTTTGGATCCAAGTCCTTCTGCTTTATGGGTTGTTCGTTGTGGAACAGTTTGCCAGATGAAATATCTAGCATTGACAGAATACTTTCTTTTAAAGTATCTTTTAAGAAGTACCTGATTGACAGTGTAATTGTTCAATACTTTTTATATGCGTTTGATTATTTACATCAAGGTGTTTCTGTATAGGAACGGATATAAATCATAACGGTAATCATTTAACACATTTTATATAAAATTATGCATTACTTTTAGTCTAAGTATCTCTCAATTTTTAAATTCTACTTTTTATAGTTGTGTATAGGTATCTTGCAATATGCTTTAGCAATAGGTTTTAATTTTTGACAGTGATAAAATGAATTTTTATTATTGAATAATAATATTATTTTATTGAAGTTTGCCTTTAGGTAACATATTTAATGCTTATTAAATTTTAAATAATTTGCCTCATAGTTTATAAATCGTGTTTTAACTTGAACAATGTGATACAATGCTCTAATTTTAGTATATATGTGTCAAAATAATTAAAATCATACTGCGTGATTATTTGATTCAAAGTTTTCATTTGCACTGGATAAAGCCTCTCTATGTGATGCAACCAACACAGGGGACCACAATGGAAATAAGAGTATGCATGAGCGGTGTGCATGTCATAGCTTACTTATTCTTATGTATGTTTTAAATGTCTATGTATTCTATATTTAAAATAAATCTATCTATCTTTACAAGATGAAATTGTTGAAATGCTTTTAAAACAACAAAAATCAATACCTTATGACCGTCCTAATGTGTACATATCATTCTCTGTAGATATAATATAACTGTAAAAAGTAACTTTTATTTTATCCTTGTATCTGTTGATTCCATTGTTGATTTCTCTTTTGTCATAGTGTAGTCAATTCATTGTGACCATGCCAAATAAAAATGCTATTTTTTTCTGTCCTTTGTTCAAATGTAGCAAAGTAAACATTATGAACAGATTATTTTGGGACCGAATGTTCGAGAAATATATATAGAATAACATTTTTACAATAACATAAGCTATAGCTTATGACAATGTCCCGTTTAAACGCAAAGGCATAATTAATATTTGAAAATTTAACACACAATGTGATTAATTTATGTAAGACAGGTCCGAAAAACAACCAAATATAAAATTATTGACCCTTAAAGTACGGGAATCAATGAACTTGAAATGCCAGAACAATTCAATGTAAAGACATGTACGTGACAACTTTCACAGCCGCCACGCAAAACTGAACATCCGTGCTGTCGTGTCAGAGTTTTAAATATTGGAGCCAGTCAGAGATCAGAAAAATTTACATTTATGTTAATAATGTTGTTAATGTTTTTATTGACAAAGATTTGATCAAATTGATCAGCAGCCAAAATAACAATGTTATAAATAGACTTTTCATGTCGATGCTGCCAGCAATCATTTTCAACACTGTAGACCTCTCCAATAAGCATAATATCAGTATAAATACTCTAGCAAGTACGTGAACGGATTCAAGAAAAACAAATCAATCGTTCCTTAATTTATATTATAATTGTTATGATACAAACTCAATATTATAAAACATGCTTCCATTATTTTTCATAAATAAACTGATAATCAGGCGTTCCCATGGTGACATATAAAGGGAGATCACTCAACACAATCATCGTTACTAATACAATATTTACTTTACAATTTCGAAAATTCAAGATTGAATAAATCAGTTCTAAAATAACTATATGTATACACATGTTAAATATGTGTTTTGTATATGACATTAATGAAAATATATGTGACTGTACATTCTGTGAGTTGTTGGAAAGATTTTAAAAAGCACCTCCGAAACCGAGACCCTCAAACATCATGAGGCCGTACCTGAAAAATAAACGAACGCATGCTGTATAACTTACTTGATATCATTAATTAAACAATATTCACAAGATAAGCATTACTATTCAGAGAAGTACAGAAAAGTATCATAAATTATTGAAGCTTTCTTTTAAAACTTAACACTACTTAATTTATTGTCACGCGACTTTATAAAAGCCATAGATTAACAACTTCATTGTAAATATGAAGCAGTTAATAGCTGGCCAGAAATAAATGTGAAGGTTATTTAAGATTATTTTAGCAACATTTTGTCATACTTACTACATGTAATTCATGCAGAGTCGGCAAAATGAGTATATAAATGTGATATGGAGACATAATGCCAATACATTACCCCTAAACATATTTCTACCCCTAAACATATATATTTCAAATACGGAGATGTTGCCTTCGTTGGTTTTACTAAACTATTATCACACTCGATTCTACTACTCCTTGCTCCACTCCAGTGAAATACAAGCTCCATACCAAAACATTTATACAATATTACTTATTGGCTGTTATCAACTAAATTATTTAATTGATATACAGTAGTTGCCTGTGTGAGGTTCATTCTTAACTTGAAGTACGTGTCCATTAATCAAAATAGTTCGTAAATGAACAATATATTCATTTTATAACATTAAATAACATCTATCACCATTATATTTATAACATAATAAAAAGCTAAGAAAAAACAAGACTTAGATTCTATTCTCTGTTATCTAATATCCAATGTTGTATTGCCAAAACATTAAAAAATACGTATCAAAGCCATTAAAAAATAAATATACATATACATTTTACCCAGCAGAATCATTCAAATTCAAACATAGACGTGTCATGCACATGCAGTTTTGGTGACAAGATAAACTATGTATGTACATTATGCCTCATCGTTACAAAAACTAAATAACGATATTTAAAATGCATTGTTCACAAATACAGTAACGACACAAGAATTAACAACAAACAAGAATTATAATTAATAGAAATAGTCTGTTTGAGAACTGAATTTGGTTCGAATCTTATACATGTATGTTCCATGAGAGTAATTGTTGCAAGATGCATGTTTTCTTTACATCTATAAAAATATGCATGTGTACAGTAAATGTATAAACATGTATACATAGGAAATGAAAGTACAAATGTTACAGTAAATGTCAACGTATTAATCATCCAAAGAAAGGGAGCAACGTTTTTTTTTTTTTTTTCCATCATATAACAGCTGATTTACTGCACACAACATGTCATATACTTCAGAGTAACCTCTCTTTATATTTGTATAATGTGCATTATTTTCATTATTTATTCTTTATAGCTGCACATAACGATATTTATTATAATATACGGCATGTTCCGGCCGAAGTTAACATTAAAAACATCATTTCATTGGTTGAAATGTTTTCTTTTAGAAGGTCAAATTTTTATGAAAAGATATAAAGTTGTGTATGCAAAATTTATTGTTTATTATGTAAGTCACGTGGCAGCTATACGTTACTCACATCAGTATTTGATTAAGATATAAAAATATCAACAAAATGTGACAAACATGTGATCACATTACTGACTAAAGCTTTTCTTTGTTACTTCTGACATTTCTTATCAAACAAACTTTAAAACAAAATATTTGCAACTATTCAAAGGAGAAAGTGGGTTGTACGAAGTTGATATTTTCTTGTCAAGAATCATTTAACTGTCTACTAAATAAATCTGAAGTGATTCTAGGAAACAATAGATTTAATATCACATATAATTAGAATACACAAAATGACAACGAATTAAAACAATCATCAAAAGCCTTTTAACAACAAAACAAAGTTAACACCAACAATACAATAATAACAATACAACATTAGCACGTCAAACCATGATATAAATGCAACATTTACTGCACAAAAATTCATTGTCTCGCAAACATTTAAAACATCATGGATGGCAAAGGCCAAGGACAAATGAGATGAAGTTTTACTGATATTCACGTAACAACGGGAATAAACAGGGCACATATTAATATGATTGTAGCTTCAGCAATTAAAAGCCGCTTGCTTTGATTACCTACTTTTAGAACCCAAACAGTCCTCCGCCGAATCCAAATCCGCCTAACAACATCATGTCCATCCTATAAGTAAGATTGAAACAAAATGACTCAAATATTATATTCTTTTTTCACGTAAGAACTTTTAGAAGTTAAACTTTTAGATAGTTTTTATATGTACATTTTTCTGATATAATAATAAAAATTATATTAATAATAATATATCATTTTAAAAATTGAACCTTTCTAACATGTAGCTCTACTTTTTAGCGTGTAAGTTTATCAATAGTATTATTAGATTATATGTTTTAGTATTATATAAAAAAAAGAGAAAACTTCACATTTTATTTACGTTTGTCGTTAAAGGATGCAAACAATATTTTGACACAATATTACATTTTGGCATAATTATCAAGAAGTGTTTATTTCAAAATAACGATTGTTTTAAATTTATAAAATATATGTTTATTGTATAAATCAATCCGCAATAAATCAATATAAGTTTGTTTAAATGCAGTGTTTTATGATATAATTTGTATTACAGCTATAATAATTCATTTCTTTTCCAATCTACTTTTAGTAAAATGAATCGTCCATATTTTAAATCAGCACTAAATAATGTTTTTTTATTACTTATACTTGTATTTTACATAACTTATAAAACCAGTTAATTGGTGTTATTAAGAATTAGATAATAGGTTAAGAAAATCTATATAAAATATAACATTAGAAAAAAATCATAGGTGGCGTCTTGATTATTAAAGTGATTGAATTAACAATTCATTTAGACTAACAAATTACATGATAACACATAACGTACGCTGTAAAAGGCTATGTAAAATAACACGCGCATACAGCTGCAGTTATTGCGACCATGCCGCCAGCAATTGATTCAAAATGGTGTCGTTAGGCCAAAATGTGTCACTATAGAGTTTATCAGAACAAAAGAAAGAAAGCGTTCATAATTTGTGTCTTACATGCCATTATTACTGGCAAATGGATCGTTATTTACAGCGAAAGGATCGTTGTTTGCAGAATTACCAGCACTGAAATATAGTAATATAGAAGGTTCGTTTACAAACGCAAGAAAGAAAATTGCCCCTATCCGTGAAATTAGTAGAACATATTGTTTAAACATACAATTGATATATACATGATGGTTAGACATGGATTAATGTTTTATGAAAGTAAACATACATTAATGATTAAAAGGGTAAAATTCCTCTTTTTTTCTTACATTTATCTCTAGCAAGTGGAAAATATTCTCTTCCTTTTGGAACCTGACCATTTTGTTAATAAAATGTAATTTTATTACTTAATACTTTTTGAATTTATCACTTAGATCATGTCTTGTTTGAAAATATTTAAGTAAAAAAAAGTTAGTTCTATAGTTATGTTAACTAAAATCATATAAATCATATAAATTAATATTGTTAATAACAGAACAGTTTAGTTTATTAAAGTCACTAAAGATTGCATGTACGGTATACGCGCAGTTGTTATTCCTTTCTACAGCTTTGCCGCGGGCGCATGAATATGTGACGGCTAAATCTGTACATTTCCAGGTCCAATTCAACTATTTTCTATTTCAGTTGTGATATTCCATAACAACAATCTACTATTATTTTATCTATTGTAAAATGGATATCCAAGTAGTCAAAGTCTCACATATAATTAGTATTAATATAGTTATTTTCATTTTCAAGCAAAGTTGCCTATAATCTAGTAATTGTTTTAAAGCGTAGGGATAGAGTGTGTTTACAGATTGTTTAGATACCATGCATTGAACATTTTATAACAGTCGTTAACGTCAAATATTTAAGACTTATTAACATCAATTGTTTTTGAAACATGAATCATATTTTGATCACATGTATTTGCAATTATATGTCTTATATCTGTTTATTTACTGTTCATACTAATTAAGAAAAGATAAACGCCGAGCAAGTAGCAATTGCTATTGAAGCCGAATTTCATGCGTCATGAACTTAACGCTTTTATTTGGCATAACAGTGTTTTGCGCGATTGTCGCAGGCGTAGTTAGTGTTTTCTAAGTCATAATACCATAATAAGGTTATTATTGTGTTAATTGGCTATTTCCTAATCCAAATCTATTGGAATTAGAATTCTTAAATGACTCAGAGTAAAACAGGTATCTCATCATTACAATACCAAATTCACCACAAACTGACGACAGGCTATATATCAGTAAGATTAGATTATGCCTTTTACATCAGAAAGGAAAAGTAAAAATAAGGACAGTTACTATTTCACCTGTAAATAGGGGATAAAATATAAACACCTTGGGCTAATCTTTAACAATGTTTAGAACAACAAAACTTCATCATTTGAATGTTGATTTTATCGGTGACCATTATTCATATTAATATCAGAGACTGTATTGGCAACTTCTTACAGTTTCAGCTTTGTAGACGAGGCTGGTAAAGTTCTATAAGTCTTTGTAAAATAGTTTCACTTAGGACTGATCAAAAGTTCCTCTATAGCTTGAGTATCTCCATGACTTTTTATTTATGATATGTCTTAACATTATTTAATAAAGTTACAGAACCAATCAGACCACACAGATGAAAGATAATGATATGACAAATTACGAGACGTCAACAATGTTGTCAACATGTAACAACATTTTTCTGATGAACAGGGCTAACTAAATATTTCAAAGATTTATTTGAAGGAAATCTCGTACATGTACAAAAACACAAATATCACGACATCAGATCGAGAGGATACTCTGAATAGAATCACAGATCATTTATATGAACGTATCAAGCAGCATTTAATATGAAGAAATATCAAATTAAAACTATTATTGAAGACATTGTAAAACCATCATCAAAGCCAATTTACAAACCGTTCTAAGCAAATTTAAAACTTATCTGAAGCCGGTAAACAAGCATTTATAAGAAAGAGATATATCTGATAGAATTAATATAGTTGGATATAGAGCAAACCAAGAAGCGCTAAAGAACAAAAATATTCTCACAAAGTATTCTGCTGGGGTCCTTGAAAGTTAAAAAAGCTGAAAAGTAAATACATGTACAATAAATTATTCCCGTTATGTTTGCCTTGCTGCATCACCATTTGCTTTGGAAATAAAATGCTTACGTATATATATGTTCATACATGTAGTTTAACAAGACTGTTGAACATATGAAAACTAAATACAAACATACGTAAACTAAGTACACACATGTTACGTGCATGCATAGTATAATGAAGTTATAGTGGCTTTATCACAGTTTAATGAGAACGTGGATTCTAAATATTCTACCTCCACCAGTGGATTTGTTCAAAGTGAATCAACCCAAAGACCCATTATTAGACATTTTGACTCGTTATTAGACATTTGACTCGTAAAAAAATGATATTACAAGTTACAGAAAAAAGAAACAGTGTTATGACTCAAAAAGGTAAATGGAACACAAAAACATATACGAAAGAGAAATAATATTGATAGCTTACAAGGGGTCGTTGTTGTAGTTATTGACTGGTTGTTGTGGCACGTAAGAGCTGAAATTATAGATAACACAGTCCATTGATTGTGTTATAGGACTACAAAAAAGACAACCAATCACATGTCAACTTTTTAAATTGGAACCGCATAGATTCTAGCAGTATTGCATTGTCCGGACTCTTTAGTAAAAGCTTATAACTGAAAAGCAACGTCTATGTAACATAAACCATGCGTAGTAATATTCATGCTCTACAACTTAACGTAATTGACACTATAAAAGCAAAATAGATTACAATTTGCAGGTGCGAATATTTTACTATGCATATCCCATGCAATGCCTTCAGAGTGTGTGCTGCTTTTTTGACAAATACATACCCCGGACTAGTTTTCTTAACATGTGAAAGCAAAACAAAGTCCGGACAACTGACTGCAATTAGCCATTGGTCGCGAAGGCTGTTCAGAAAGAACCTAGGTAGCAAAATACATTGTTGACCATCATTCCTAAAATATAAATGGCACTTTAAAGGCACTTAATGCCTAAGAAATGAATATGTTTTGTTCTTTAAGAAGCGACAAATATATGTTTGATTATGTTTCATTAATGGATTTAAAGCATGAAAGATACTTTATACTTTATCATTGGTAGAAAGTAGCACTCAATGTGAATTGATATGTAATAAAAGTACCAAAATATAAACTCATTGATATTTTGACTCACATACAAAATATTAAATCACTATAACACTGAAATAATTGCCAAAGAATAGAAGTAGAAGATGGTTCAGCTTTAAGGCATTGAAATTTTTTGTTGTTTGTTTTTGTAGCAGGACAACAAAAATCAAAAGCTTTTAAGAAATAACAATAATAGCATTTTGAGTTCAAATGGGCCTTTTAAAATGGCTAAATCTTTGCTACTACAATCGTTTATCGAGTCGCATGCTTGTAACCATTGCAAAACGCATATACATGACATTCATAATTCGTTTAGTTTTTGCGCTATTAATAGCAATACATCACGAAGAACAGATATTGATGGTCTGTATATGATACAATTTGACTCAATAATTGTATTATTCTATTCCATCAATTACATTGTTTCAATTTAGAATAGTTGCACACTGCGCATCAGAAATGGAAAGTTGACATGTGATTTAGTGCATAGAAATACTAAAATAATTTTTAAATTATAAAGGAACGTGTGATTTCTTTTTAATTTGGATTATTACTTTTATGTACATATATATTTTAACATAATAGGTAAAATAAATAAATATGTAATAAGTTGTATAATTAAATATTTGCATGTCAATAATAACAATAAGGAGGTTAGTATATTTCATAAAACATTCTAGATATTGTTGCCTGTACCTTATTTACCTACACCATTAAATTAATGTTTGTGCATTGCTATATCTAAGCGAATTATACACCTTTGTACCATAGGCATGTTTAAAGACCATTTATATGTTGTCAAATTACATGTATAATGTATTCAAGCTTGTTCTACGTGATATGCTTGAACCTACTTGTTATGCATTCCATAAATCAAGACAATGACAGATTCAAAATAGTTCAAATCCTTTTAAAAGATATTCTTTCAACAAGAAAACTTTCTCCATTTCTAGAAGCAAAAATGCAACGATAGTACACTAGTATAGAAAAGTCATTTACCTTTAAAGAAATATACCAGAAGTTGGCTTTTAATTTTAAAATGAGACAATTAAGACTGGATTCATGAAAGACGTAGGTACACACATATGTACAGAGAATCATACAAACATATGTACCAATGTACAATTTTTTATTACTTCAATATTTTGAAAAGACTTATTGTTGAGATAAGTGTTTTTAAATATCAAATACTAATGAATTGAAAACATAGGCTATTGGAACGTTTCTACTACTGTCTATAGCAAGTTTAACAAGTTGCTATTACAATTACTATACTATTATTATTATTGCTATTTTAGAAATGATTTACAAGGTCAATTTGCTGTAAAACTGGTTTTATGTTCTTTAGTTTAAAACTTGAATTTCATCGGATTTACCGGAGATCAAAGAACGAAGAACACCTTCACGGCCACAATGAGTTAATATGAGATAAAATTAGTGCTAAGCTATATTCTGTTATATGTGCAGGAGAAATGAAGAGGTCGGTAAGTAACTTCAAATCAAGTATTCACATTTCAAGCCAATATAGCAATTTAAATAACATACATATATTCCTATCAAAGCGAAGCTATATAGTGCAAAAAGTCGCTTATAGCATGTAGCTCCAACTGAAAGCATATTCAAGCGTGTCTCACAATGTATTCTGTGCCTGCGAAGTTTGGGGATTTGGTAGAGTATTACTCTGGATTTGCTGGGAGGAAGTTTGTTGTGTCTGTTGATTATTTGAGCTGCAAATGAGAACTTTCGTTTTAATTCTTTACAGACTGTCCCAAGGAGATTTTAGATAGTTTTATTGTACATATATAAACAATGACTTACACTTAGTTATACTTAATTATTTTTTCACTTTTTCTGTTTACATGTAGATTTTATTGTCATATTAATATATAATAAGAAAATTATCTAACACAAATTAAAATTTTGGCTGCAGTGAATGAGTTTGCTTTTGTAAGAAACGTTTATAAAAAATTTCATTGATATTAAATTGATTTATTATTTTGTCATAAAAGGTTTAGTTTTCTTACGCATTTTGTCCATTATTTTGTTGTTGTTGCTGTTTTGACCATTGCTGTTGTAAAACCGTATAGTCTCTGAAGTTATTATCAACAAAAAGTAAAAGACAGCACTGCGTTAACTAACAATTCAGGCACTATTGAAATAATCTACACTACCTTAATCCTTCGTCTAAGTTCGACCCCGTTCTCGGAAATTGAATTTTAGAACGTCAGGGCAAATTTTACTTTACAGATGCAACAAATGCAATTTCAAGGAGAAGAAGTCCGCTGAATTTCCGATAAGATAAGCTCTAGATCTCACTATTAAATGGTAAATTTAAAGATATTTTTAAAGTAATGTATATTGAAAACATTTTTTCTTCATTATCTTTCTCGTGTACATTTTTTAAAGATATATAATAAGAAATGAAGCGTGTTCTTACACTGTAGGTGTAGCTGGGGTCTGTGTCTGGCCCTGAGTTTGTAGCCATTGCTGATATTGTTTTTGAAATGCGGCATAATCACTAAATTATTCAAAATTAAGTTTCATTTAGTTCATGATATCGTGGTATGATCTTCAAAAACATCAAAATATTAATCTAGCTTTTCTCGAAACATGATAAAACTAGAATCTTAATCTTAAAAAAACCCAGATTTTTTAACACTTCTTACAATGACTTTCTTATCAAACTCCTTTGACAAATTAAAACAAAAAAGTAGTGGTTTTTTTCGACACTTTTATGTCTCAATTATTTACGTCTTGTATATTTAGCAAAACTTACAAAGCTGGTTGAATTGTAGGGTTCGTTTGCGGAACAGCTGATGGAGGCTGGGGTACACCGCTGCTATAAATTTAAAGTAAACCAATGTAATAAAAGTGGGGTCAAGGTCAAAGGCATTGCTTATGGGAAACTTTTTGAAGCCTATGTACATCTAAATTAATGAGAACATTTCATCTTTCATATAACTCTGCTTTAAGTACTTTTGTTTTTATATGTCAGAATAAACATCAAGTATCAATCAATAGCATATAGCTTTGATTGAGTATACACGTATCTTCTAATAAATAGCCATGTTTTAACTTATAAAAATCTGTTTGATTTTAATGTGGAGAAACTGTATCTTACACAACATTCATCTGCGGCTGTACTGATGCAATATTTGCTTGATTTTGTAGTTGCTGTTGTTGTTGTTGTTGCCAAAGTAAAAATTGCTGTTGCATTGTTGGAGTTGGGAATTGACTGTCGTTTTAGATTATAAAAATGAAAACATAAAAAATATACATATATATCACACTTGATAAACGTTGTAATGCGTGTAAATACTAAACAGTATACCAATCTCTTATTTTCACATAAAAAGTAAAACTAAATTCTTGCAATATATATTTTTAACCAAAAAGTATTATTTTAAACACATGTGGATATTTCTATAAATTTAATTATCAAATTTTGTTTAATTTATACTAATTTATTTTATTTCGATTGTGTTGGAAGCTATTAGCTATTGAAACACTCTCAAATCCGTTCCTGGAACAACCAGTATTAAGCAATGAGTCAAAAGTTTCTTGCAATTCAGGGATTACCAGTCCGACGCCACTCATTATGATATCAAAATTGACTTTTCAAATTAAGAGGTTATCTTACGGAACTGTTTGTGGTTGAACAGGATTGTTCACAACTGGGAGAACGGAACCTCTGTAAAAAAACATTGTGCATATAAACTTGACAAAGAACCTTAAACAATGTAAGACCTAACATCCAAACAATTAAAAAACAGATCGGCTGACCAAAATGTATTTAATTATGAAAAGCCTTCAAAATTTTAAGAAAACTTGTCGTCGAATCGTAGAGAAAACATGTAAAGTGTAGCCACTTTTCACTACGAAAGATAATGTATTTCCTACATAGCAATAAGTTATAGAAGGTATGTGATTACTTAAGGTGCATTAATAGTTATTTAACTATTGTAGATGTCAATTACTTAATTGAAAAATAATTAAACTACCGCAATCTGATGTCAAACAATGACCTTACATATTGTATCATGGCCAAAATAACAAATAGCATACATGGAATTTTAAAAACTAGGCAATATTTTCAAAACTGATTTCAAAATTAACCTAAGATTGTAACTTTTTGCTTTTTCTCGGATACATTTAAAGCTATGATAAATTTCTTACAGAGGTTGAATCATTGGTTGTAAAGCCGGGACCGGCGTTTGTACAACTGTTGCGGGAGCTGTTTGTACCATTGTTGTTTGAGCCTGTGCCTCATTTTGGTTTTGGCTCATTTGAAGCCATTGTTGGAACTTTTTGAATGTTGAATAGTCGCTGAAGTGAATATTGTTCAGCCTGAGCAATGCTTACGATGCTTATTAACATCAATTCTTATACAGTTTTATTGTTTTACTCTTTCAGTGTATATACATATGTTTACATTAACACTTCTTTAAGCTTGAACCGAAAATAAATTTTCTTATTTCACTAGACTTTTTTCTTTACTTATCTTATGAGACTTCGTTATTATATATACAAGTAGCTGAAAAACAATTATACTTAATAACTTTATCTGAAAGACATAGTAAAGATTTCCTTACAAAGCATCCGTATTTGGTTTTGATGCAATATTGTTCCCATTCCTGAAAATATTATCTTTTATGTTCATTTGTCATTGTACCGCAATTAAAATTAAAATCAAATCATTATGTCAAATCTGTTTGTTAGAAATATTCTAAAACATTTGTCTATTAGTTGAATTGAGTTGAGAAACTTAAATGTTGTACAATACATTATGGTATAACAAATTGTGATTTACACACCTTCTATTGTTACAAGTGAAGTCTGTAAAGAATGGCACAATTACTTTAATTCTTGACATGATAATTTCATTCTCCTAAACATATTTATACAAGTTGTCGCTTTACAATTCACAATAACGAGCAATAGTTTAATGAAGAGAACATTCTTTTTTCTTTTCTTTTGTTATTGTTTTTTAAGATGCTTACATCCGAGCTTGCTGGGCTTTGAACAGTTGATACCGTTGGTACCACTTTGCCATTTGGGTTTGATCAATGTGTCCCATATGGCTTTCAATCTGAGATTTGCCAGCAGAGACTTTGCTGGATGATTTAATTGATTTACTTTGATCCTTTGTGGCGGCATTCCTGAAAATGTTTCATCCGTGTACTATTTATAATTGTCGAAATAAATAGCAACAGAGAAGTTATTTCTAATGTAATCTCTTTATAACAATTCAACGTTGGACATTCCATTTAAAAACAAATAGACCAATCATCTGGAGACCAAATATGCTTAAAGAAGTCTATAATATCATATCATGAACAAGATATTAACATGTGTATATGAATATTTCTTGCTATTGAAAGAACTTTGTTTTTGACAGTATGTTTAAACATTTCTTACGGTGAATTTGGAGAATCCGGCATGGTCACTATGATAGGGTATTTCACTTTTTTTGTGTCCAGTTGACTGCTTCAATAAGTAACACATGTTTCATTAGTCAAATATACCTTACACTACGCATATATGATAAATATACGGGTTTCATGTCGAAAACACACCTTATGTTGATAAATTAGAATTTTATTACAAAAAAAAATTTCCTTAAATATCAAATGCACATTTTTTCTCAATTAAGTTTTCCGTTAAATTCATTAAAAAAAATCTCAAAATATAATTGTAAAAGATTTGTTTGCCCTAAAATTATTAAATCTGAATAACAAAATAACTCAAATGCAGTTATTATACTATCTTATAACAGTTGACAGATTGTATGTCTTACAGATCAAGTGTGGTTGTCCCTTTTACAGGTGAAGGTGCCAATTTATTATCCTGTATATTGTTTGTTCCAACATCGGGTCTGGAATAATTTAACAAACCATGCTTATTCATTCATTTTTTCTTTGAGCTCTTAAGCAATAATATCTTATCGTCATAATGCTAGTTTTTTTTTATATCTTTAGGAACACATCATAGACAAAATCTTACTGTCAGAAAATATTGCCCTATAAGTTAGGCTTTGCCTCTTCTATGGGATCCCCCTTTTTCTTGCTTTAACTTTCAATCGCCGGAGAATTATTTAAACAAGTAGAAGAGGTTATTCAAATAAATAACAAATGATTTCTATCAAGTAGAAATAAAACTCATTCAAACAACCAAATTAAGTTATTCAATCAAAGACATTATTTAAACAAGTCGACTGAGCTGCAATCTTTACGACAAAACTGTCCCTGACCAAGACAATAAAAAAAAAGAATTAAAAAAATTGTGAGGTCTCTTCTAAGAACTATTGATACTATATTATTTTCGAATTGTTCTGTTGATTTTTTTTTCTCAAAGTAAATCTCAAAATAAAATATCATAAGCTAAATGCATCTTACAAGACATTGCGTTGTTTAGCCGCATACTCAATGAGAGACATCTGTGAATCATTTGAGTTTAAAGAGTTTCTGAAAATGATCAAGATATTTCTTTAACATATATCATTACTAAATACAACTAACTTCAAAAGTTAACACTCAAAAAAGAGGAAAGTCCATATGATGCGGATTAGGATTACAGACTAGAGCATTGGAAACCTTCCAAATACTTAATAACCACCATCAGAAAATAAATGCAAATTAAAATTCCAAAATAAGAAGACAATGAAACGTTAAAGAACGCCTTAAACCGTTGAGATGAAAATCTTTCAGGCTCGATTTCAATGAAATAATTCATGGACGGCAGTGACAAATGCTTTATGACGTCCACGCTCCCATGCACCTCATCATTTAAACAAGAACATTGTGTTTAAGGAAGAATTTAGACACATTCACAAATGTGTCGTATCAGTGCAAAAAATGTATTAACTTATATTTATAAATATGCGGACAATGATACAAATATCATATCTTTCTTACATAACAGTAGAAGCTGTATCTGGCAGCATCTGATCGAATGTAGCATTCAAACTAGAGTTTCTGAAACAACGATAAAAGTCCGATAAACAGACACCCAAACAACCAAATTTGTCGATTAATGGAGAAGCAAGGGCATTCTCTTTGCTTTGTTGTTCAGTGTTTGTAGATATGTAATACAATACATTTTAATAACAGTGACATAACCGTGTGTTCATTTTCCTATAGACCATCAACGCCAGTATTGCATACAATTGTTAACAACAGGCAAAGAAAACAGCTAACCAGCGTGAGTTCCTTGCTGAGAACTTATGGCAGTTAAAATATTATCGACCCAAATCTCAAGGTAAGCAATTAAGTATATAATAGACTGTTATTGAATGAATGATTGACTTATCTATTTATACTGATGCCGAAATATTTAAGGCACTTTATTCATCATGTCAAAGATTAATTCAGATCATGTTTCCATTTAGCACAAATTGGTCCAAAGTTGAGCAATTCAGATAAAAGAACAACATTTAACAAGAACCGTAAATGGACAATATATGTTTAAAGTCGTTAAACGTTGTGGGTCATACTTTGCAATGTCAGCAGCAAATCAAATCTGTTAACATGTTATGCTTGAGCAGATAACAGCATGATTGCAAACCCTTTTCTGAACAACATCTTCAGCATAGACATAATTTGTACTGTAATACTGAAACCATTGCGTTTGTTTTACATTGTCTATCATTATTCGTTAAACAATACAGAAGTTAATTACCTAACAATGGTTTTCTTTAAATAAAAAAACAACTGAGCATAAATCGCAAGAAACCGCTATTTCCTACCTTATTAAGCATATATTTAATGTTGATTGTGTTATTTATATTGGATTTCAGTTCTGAATAAAAATATAACGAACATAATTTATAATCTTCCATGGGTTGAAAACAAATCTTATTTGTTCAATATTCGCCATCAATCTAAGACAGTTGGATATTATTTAATAATAAATTGTTTTATCAATTTGTGTATACGTTTGTTTATATTAAACCTTGTCTTTAAAATGAAATCTACTTTTTTTCTATACTGATCATTGTTTTCACTATCCATTCAGACATTGGCAAACTCGTCTTACGCTTAACATTAAACATTATAATAACGATTATGAAAACTAAGTTTACAGAATTCAAGAATGTTTCAAAACAACTGAAAAAACATTAAGAATACTCAGTAACATATTTGTAAAATTATTTATAAGATACGTACATGCAAAGAAAACACAAATAAAATAGCAAATATATTGACAAGTTTTAAAAGCACAACTTATAAGTGTAAAAGAAATGTGTTCTTTTCTATGGATTTTTTTTGGCAATATATAATCGGAATCAAATTTTGATGAAATATTTTAGAGAGCTTTTGTTTTGCTTTCGTCATGGCATTAAGGTATTGAGATAATTGGAAAATTACTAAATGATAAGAGAAACTAGTTATCAAATGTTACACATTGCCTTTGGAATAACAAGATAGACTTCCAGTGACCAAAATCAACACAAAGTATATACACGTAAGAGCACAATGTTCTCTGCTGTGTAACAGAATAGACCAAAAACAGAACAAAACAGACATGAACAGAACGCAACAACATATCCTAGAAAAGTTAGTATATAAACATCCGAAAACATTACATAACTTTGATACTGATGTCATTACAAGTTTGATTACGAGGAATAAACTGTATAGATAATAGATATGGATTTAGGATTTAGCATGCAAATGTATGCTTATTAAAACACTACATACAAATTTTACTGTCAGCATGCACTCTATGTGTTAACAGAATACATGGAAAGACCGACTAGCATCGCATTAATGCATAAAATAAATAAAGAGTAAGATATGGTCCTTTTTACAAGCTGTTAAACTTACAATGGGTTGGTCTGTGGCACCACTTGTACAACTGGTTGAGCTGAAAATTAACACATATATAGACCAATATAAATTCTAGAAACAAAGAAACTTGACCCAACCTACGAAATAATATAACATTTTGATTAACATTGCTTAAGATTGTTTTATGTTTCGTGACGAAAAAAATCATTATTAACTCTTGGATAAGGACCTTTTTTGTGTTTCATGACAAATAATTAATTATTAACTATTGGTTAAGGTTAATTGTCAAAATTATTTATATATATTTCTATAAAATCTAAATTGAAAAAAATATAATTTCTCCATTTAATTTGAATTTTAACGTCACTTTGATATAGGTCAACAGAAATAAAAAATTGTAGAATTACATTATGTGTTGTTGTTGTTGTTGTTGTTTTTTGTTGTTTTTTTCGTTGTTTCTTTTTTCCCCCAAAAATCTATTCCACTTTCAATGTATTAAAATCATTTAACCATAATATGATATATATGAAACAAATGAGTAAAACCTCGGAGTAAAATTATACTCTAAAACCGTGCTTCAAAATTAAATTCAAAAGTCAAAAGTACATTAATTTTTTAAATACATACTGAAAAAGATGTATGTTATGTATTTGCAAGGCTATTGTGTCAACTCGATGTCGTATCCAGTACTGATATAATTTATGTGAAGTTTTTTTCTAAATGTTAAATGTTATTGATATGACAACAAATGTACTTAACCTTTGGCTTTTAAGGTCATTAAACTTATGGAATAAAACATGTATCTGAATAAAATATTAAAAACACGTTAAAACTAACATAAAATATAAAAAATTACTATCTACATATGATTCAAATAAGAAATTGATATCATTTAAAACTGGCCATATAATAATGAAATGTAATATACAATGTATTGCAACACGAAACTATATGAGACCTCCTTGAAATGTTTGTATCTCTCACAGTATGAAATATATAATAACTGAATAACTCAAACCATTTGTGTATAGGATTGAAGAGTTACAAGGAAAATTATTTTAAAAAACTGTTTTAGTGTATCCTTAAAACCATATTCTTTTTTCATTTTCGCATAGAGAATGTTGTAGCAAAAAGAAAGAGAAATTTTGAAGACTATAAATACATGTAGTAACAATTGCCGGTCAAGGTATAAAAAGGGTCAAATTTGCTTGCAATGACTCAAAAACAAAAAGATCAAATATAAGCAATGTGTAATTTAGATATTCTAGAGACATATATTAATATATGGTTTTGTAGTTGGTGCAAGTAAGTAAATTATAATACTAATACATATTAAATTATTGTGGATGAAAATCTTGTATGCATTTTCTTGAAGGTGTGTTAAATGTATTTCACTTAAAAGATAAAAAGATACAAGCACAATAAAAAAACTGAATATCTTTGCGTGGTTTTCTGAAGACCTGTAGTATAAAAATCGATGAATAATAGAAAAACAATTGTATTAAATATTAATTTTAAAAAATGTAAAATAAGGTTATTTAGGATGCAGTCTTTCAATGGTCTTTCAAATAAATTCAATTTTTTCAAACATTGTAAGAATGGGTGGAAAAACAAAAGTGCAGTTAATGAACATGACCCGCTCTCTGAAAAAGCGCATTTCTGTATCCATTAACATATAAAAAGAACTGGTAATTTAAGTCATGAAAATTATATCAACAACGAAACAAATGGTACTTGATCATTTTGAACATTTCCTATCTACAGATTCCTACCTGGCACTGCGGGTTCTGCTGGCTTAGTCTGTTGAGCAAACATGCCTGCTAAAGCTGATGCTGGGAACCGGATGGAAGACATTTCTGAAATTAAAAAAATGTCTCCATATTGTAGATGACGTCTCAAAGTAACAGATGAAGATTTACAGAGAAGGTAACAAATACTGTGCTGTATGTTGTGTTATTTATTGATGATGTATTTGTTGTGGTTGAAGATCATTTAAACAATATCAAGAAAATTTACAACAGTTTAAAAAAGAAGCAGTCAAACAAAACCATATCAAAAGAAAAGCTTGCTCTTTCCTTTTTATTAAACAATTCAAACATGTTTCTTCAAGGAAATCTACTTCTTGATGTTGGCCACTTTTATAAGCGACTTGCTTGCTTATACGATGTTTCAGGATATAAGCCGCCATTAAAACTGCTTAACCCACTTGTAATGTCTTTTTACTTTTTCAAAATGTTCCAAAACTATGCTCTAATATGTACAGACATCATTTTCTACTAATTTATACCATCAAAGACACCTCTCTTTAAATGATTAATTAACTTAGCGGTTGTACTTCATCGCAAGTAAAATATAAAAAATACGTACTTATACAAACAGAGCACACTTGTCCCCCTCGACAATAGCTGCGACCAAGTTCAGCGCAAATTTCTGTTGGCCCACACCCAGGGGACTGAAATAAAAATCAGTTTTATTATAATATATATTCATTATTAACAAAATATAAACATTCTTGAAAGGGATTACATCTTAAGTGAAAAGAAAGACAAAAAAGTTGTTGAAAATGGAAATCTTGGTTTTACAGAGACAGTACATGACGATTTTTCGTAAGGGAAATATCTCACGCCCCCTAGCACCGGTTAAAGTGGTATTAAATCCAAAACATAAAATGTTTTGGACTATATGATCTCAAATCACCAGAAGAAAAAACAATTAAAAATTTAGTTACCATGTAAAAGTCAATTAATTGTTATGCTTTTTAATGATATATCTATAGCAGCGAAACGGTGCAAAGAGCGAGAAATCAACATTTTTCAACATTTTTATCAACCAAAATTGTTAAGATCAATTTTCTATAGTGTTTCAAATTTCAAAGTCATCGTTGCTTTGTCCTTATCTATTTGAGTTTTCGAAAAGGTTTCTGTGTTAAGGATATTTGAATGTCTGCATTTTGGTGTATCTATGATAGCTTTATCAAAATACATTACGTAAATGTCAAAATTATGGATTTGCATTCCATAATTTACCTGGAATTTTGGATCAAATGGGGTTTTTTGGTCTTGACAGTGACCAAAGATTATGCAATCAAATACATGATTGTGTTTATTCTAAATGGAATGCATTGAGTGATCAATGACGCAAATTTACCAACATTTAATTTTATGGCGGCGTAGATGACGCCGCTGAGGTATAGCCTCAGTTTGATTTGAAAAGTCGGGCTAAAGATTTGGTCAAGTAAGGGCCACTCTCTTGTACTAAAGGAACCATTGAGTTATATCTTAATTTGGGTTTTCGTCATACGGATCACATATCGTCAAAACATTAACCTTTTTAACAAATCATTTTTCTTCATTAAATATACTTAATTATGCTAATTTATGTGCGTTACTACGCCATAAAAATTAGACGATAATTGTTTTATTATTAGGGCAGTATTTTAAACATGATAAAGTGTCTCTTTTAATAAAAAGCAAAATACAAATATGTATAGTGACAGCTTCCTTAATATGATAATAAAGTTTAAATGTCATTTTCAAAATGATGGAGTTATGACATTTTATAACTGTTCATCTTTTCTTTAGATATTTAGAAAATTGGCGGAATCAGATCATCAACTGGACTGGACTTTAGAAAAAGCTAACGAAGTTAAACCAAGCAGGTAAACTGTATAAGGTAAAATGTATATGATAAAGTTGAGTGCAGTCATCGCAGCACAATGATTTTATGATAAGATTCGAGTGTTTTAATTAGTCATAAGCATGATGTATTGGCTCCCACCAGCAACAGACATATATATATCTATAAATGTACAACTATATTAGGAAAATGTAAATAATAAAAAATGATAGAAATGTTAAAGAAATGAGAGAAATGTTAAAATATATACTAGTATGATTAAAAAATCTATTATGTTTTCACAGATTAAATAATTATGATAATGATTATGATAATTATAACAACAACAACAACAATAATAATAATAGTGATAATTATGATATACACGTTTATCAAATAATACTGATAATGCTTATGATAATGATGATGATGATGATGATGATGATGACGACGATAATGATGATTATTAACATAAAATAATAATAATAATAACAATCATCATCATAATCATCATCACTGTCTACGTCTTCCAGAGGTGTTTGATAGAAATGTAAGTTGGATTATCATCATCACTTCCATCATATTGTTATCATTTACGCAATTTATCTGGGTAACAAAAACCTGCACAAAGTATGGAAAAAGTACAAAATACTTCAGTATTAACTACAAAGTTGAATGTAGTGTATTCATATAGCTCATACATTGCCTGACATTTGGAGTTATTTATACAACAGACTGTTAATTTAAGTCTAAAATATATACCTATTAATTATCGGTGCAAGAACAGTTATAAAGTTGTTTATGATGCAAAATATACACCAATGAAATGCTACACGATCTCAACAAAAACAATATCCAAATAAAGCTTGGAATACAAATCATCTTATAAAATAAAATGTGCGACAAATTCTTCCGCCGAAATCATGAGATTCATATTTAATAGGCAATATATCATTTGACAAAAGTATTAGAATAGTTTAAACGTGGAAAATGATTTTGTTCAATCCCTTATCGGAAAACTTTTTATAGGCACACTGCCAATGTCATTTAGAATAATTATCGTATAAGTACTTTATCTCACACCCAACATATTTTCAAACCTTTCATTCATGAGCTGTTTATTTTTTACTAGAAGTGTCAATGATGTCATCAACTTGTGTGCATAAAACTTTAGTTTCTGACAGACATGTCTGTTGCTGTCAAATCAAATCAATGCATTGGAACAGATATTTACATTAGATATTTTATTACTTACTGTTATTTCATACAAATTGCAATTTACTTTTTAAGTCCTGTAAATACATCATCAACTAATTGCGAAAATGAATATTAGAAGCAAACAAATCTTAAATCAGGTACCTGCATTTCAATGCCTTGTGATATTCACATGACAATGGCTAGACTAAACAGTAGATATTCAGAGATGCATGAAGAGATTTGAGATCTCTGGTTTTTTATTCTAAAAGGCCGTGTCAGTTTTACAGAAGAGGGTTGTGCTTTTCCAAAGATGGAAATAGAGCTTTTTTATAATTGTTTAATTTCAGCATGTTGCATAAAGATTAAAGTGTACATATGAAGTTATTTTTTACAAAAAAATATTTTTATTTATGCTAAAAGACCTCTTGAATGCTTAACAGTTTGAAAAATACAATTTGTCTATCGGGAAGGAAAAGCAGTCATTTGTATTAATCAGTACATTGGCGAAGTAGGACATAGTAACCTTAGGGTGCTGGATCAGTTTGAAGAATCAAGAAACTTTTATTGACTGACCTCATTCGGACCTATAACCTTAAAAATGGTAGTTCACATGCGAATTAAAATCTAAAAGTATCTATGAATAAGTCCTCTAAATGACATTTTATCAGTACTTTAATACCAATTATGCCTCAGAAATACTTTTTATTTGTTATTTCTCAAACGATTTATAATTTTCTTGTACTTTACAGTATCCATAAAGTTTCTAATTGGCCAATAACCTAAACCGTCTTTTTCATCCTCTTGGCTATAAGTACAGTTATAGTGAATAAGTAATTCGAATGGAAGTCAAAATACTACTTTGTTTACATTTTGCTACTCTTATGACAAATTATTTGAGTTTATCGCTTCTTTCCTGGGGTAACAATCATCTAACATTTTCTAAAATCATTATTTAAACATGTTAGAGCTTTCATGATTTATTTCTGAGCCATAATATGTCTTTTAAGTACTTTGATTTGATAAGGGCGAAAAAGTTGTGCCTTACATACACGTTTTGTTGTTGTTTCATTGTTGCAAATATTGTTATTTTAAGAACTGTCATGCAACAAGTAGCATTTTTACAGTTTATTAATTAATGCGCTCTATGTCGAGAAATTCACCATATAAACATGGACTTCACAACGCCTTGCATAAATTTGGGCACATAAGCTAAAATTAAGAACTTTGAAAACCGTAATGCCTGTCTTCTTGTAAAGCTTATAAAATGTCACTGCGTCTAAAACAATAATTAATGAACAACAAAAATATTCTCGTGTTAATTCATCCTTATTGTAAAGTAAATTTCATACAAACGAGCAAACATTGCTATGCTTACGTAAAGTATTGTAAAGATGTTACTTAAGACATTGTTTATATCTACAAAATCTCAAAACTTTTGAAGAAAGCTCATAACGTCTCGGTTTCATTGTGCCTGTTGCAAGTTCATATGTGACAGAGGTAAACGCAATCGACCGTGCAGGCCCCCTAGCACCGGCTTCAGTAGAACTAAACAAAGAAGCCTGAACATGGTGTTTAATTAGGGAAACTGAGACATTCGCATACGGCGGCGATCATGTAACACTTTAGTATCATTCCATGAAAAGCGGAATATGACCCTGACGTAATGCATGTCCCAAACAAATAAAACAAATATGTCAAAGTTAATAAAATAAAATCATGAGAAACCGATTTTACATGTATGTGTCAAACGCTGAACATCAAATACGTCAAAAACCAGATTTAATAGGAAGAAGCAGCCTGTAGCAGCCGCTGTCTAGTATGTTTAATACTGGTAAAATGCGACTTTTATAGCTGTAGCAAAATTCACTCCCATTATCGTCATCTATTTGTCTTTTTTGGTACGAATACGCGTGTGGGAAACAGGTTACAATCATAATTCGGCCCGTAAATGTAAGACCGTTTTTGTCAAAGAGGGCATGAGGAATGTCATTAAAGTTAGCTATGTTATTTCGATATAAATGTTAAATTTGTTAAAATTCATGTTCATATGTGACAGAGGTCAACGCCATCGACCGATCACGCCCCCCTAGCACCGGTTTAAGCAAAACTTAAGCAATGATGCCAGAATATGGTGTTTAATTAGGAAAACTGAAACATTCGTAGATGTATTCCTAACATCTAATTTGTATATGAATACAAATATCTAACTTAATAAGTTACTTGAAAATGTCATTGGTAAGAATTCAATGTAAATATAGTTTGTTTGTTTGTTTGTTTGTTTGTTTGGCTACTTACACATCCTTTGGGTCTTGGAGGAGAGACAGGGGCTGGGGACGAATCTGGCATTGGTACCGGTGTGCCTCTGGGATCCATGCTGGGTGGCGGCCGTGGTGGTCTGCTCTGACAGTTCACTACCACCAATAACACAGAGATTATCTGAAAAAGGTAAATCCAAATAGAAAGTTAAAATTATTTATCAATGATCTAAATGGCTTTACATGTTAATAATTTATTATTATATGAAGTAAGATTTGCTTGTTTGTTGTTTCTGTTGTTGTTGTTATTTATCTTGTTGTTGTTGTACGGGTTTTGGTGGGTGTTGTTGTTGTTGTTTTTTTTTGTGTTTTTTTTTTGTGTTTTTTTTTTTGTTTTTTGTTGTTGTTTTTTTTTTTTTTTTTTTTTGGGGGGGGGGGGCTTCTCTTCTTTTTTTAACTTTAAAACTTGTATGATATGAATAAGGTTTATTTGAACAATTTTAATTTTATCGTTTAGTCTGTAAAACTGGTTAGTCTCCATTGATAAAAATAACCATAAGCTTATTTTGTTGCCTTTACAATCATTTTTCATTCTCTGAACTTAAACAATTCAGCTCTTTTTGTTACATACTTCTACACATTTGTAAGGAAATACAATTTTTAAAAAAGCTAAAAAAACAAACCCTGCTCGTATATTTAACTTTAAATGTTGTCGCTGGTGACAATTACTGTCGGCACATGACTGTCAAAAAGCAGGGAAATTTTCTGCATGAATACCTGTCTTGTCAAAGCCTCTATTGTATGAATTTAACTAAAATAAGTTTACAGATGTGAGTTATTGTACGACATAGTCATACATGCCTCTAATATATCTGCCATGTGTTTGTCATATAGAATTAGTATACAATTATCACACACACCTATCACTTAAAGGGACTCAACTGATGTTGTTGTTGTTGTTGTTTTTTTTTGTTTTTTTGGGGGGTTTTTTGGGGTTTTTTTTTTTTGACATGATCGGAACAACAATATTTTTACAAGAGTTTTGTGTAACTGGGTGAAGATCTTGACCAATAATTTCTGTTTACAATTTTATATCATTAGCTAAATCCGTTTCCCCGGCATAACCAATTTTTATTATACAAATTTACTCCGATTTGAAAACCTTCCTCAAATTGACAAAAAAAATCTTTAAAGGTCGATTTTTCATTTAAATACTGAGTATATTTTTATATTACATGTTGCATAATTTTTCCATGTAATGTGCAACATATAATAACAAATAATTTTATGATATTAGGATATTATATCTCAGTTGAGTCCCTTTAATACATAAGACGCCTTAAATTTTTTTTATAATTATTATCGTTTAAAGGGATACTAAGGCAAATAAATGACAAAAATATTAAAAATGAAATATGTACTCAAATAACGATAAAATGACATTTTTAAAGTCCCAGCATAAATTCTAAATATTTTGGGTTTGAAGCGTAAATATATCAATATATGTTGAACGAAATTTAGACGAAGACAGAATCGCCGAATAGTTTTAAATTAAGTCATGTGACATGAACAAATAACATATATTGCGGATATTTGATGATTGAAACTAGTATAAGCCATACATTTGACAGGTTTTCAACGCGTCCAGAGTTCACTCTGAACGCTCTTACCTGATCCACGTTGGCCAAGTTAGAAAACCACCATTTTATTTTTTATGAGGAGAAAAGTTTTGTACCTGTGATTGCCTAGTGTATTCATTTTGAGGACGTTTACATAATAATGAATGAAAAATTCAAAATGAAGAAATGAAGATTTTGCCTGTGTCTCCCTTTAATAGTAAACATGTGATTGGCAATCTTCTTGTGTTAGACGATATCATGTACCATAGCCTAATGTAATATCTTAATGTATACTGTCAAACAACCATATCAATGCAGTTGGTCACAAAATAAAATCACGAAATTATGTTCATAATGTGTAAATTATCACGAACTCGCTCGCTTATGATATGATTTGTCACAAAATATTATGTCTATCGCAGTTCGGGTGCAAAATTTTTATGTCATGAAACATTATATAAATAGCACATAGGTTTGTGAGTAACATATTTTTAAAGTAAAAATATCATCCCGAGAAATACATAGTTTTTCAATTCTTCATAAATGTCAAACATTTTTTAAAAATGATTTTAATTTTAGATTCAGAGCATGTTTTATGCTTAACAACTGAAACAAGTAGCGCTGAATGCGCATAAATATGTCTTGAAGGTAGCAAAATGTATATAAAGTAGTGTTTTGAGTTCCATACAAAATACTAATTTACTATAATTATACCAATTGCTAATATAGCAATATAAGCAAAACGTAGTTCATTTATATGACAAATGAGTAATATTTTTGGAAACTGTAACAAGATACCAAATAAAAAGATTTAGAGTAATAAAAATGATAACATATCTGAAGCATAGTGGGCCTTTTATTTTATAAATGGATATAGCATCAAAGATCCAAACGTTATTAAGCGATAAACTATATCAATTGAAAACAAAATATATGAGGTATAATTTAGTATTTCCTTTTTCATCCATTCAGTTCTGTCTTGCATTAATGCTTAAGTAAAGGTCCATTGTGCCCAAGGAATAATTTTATTTTTATTTCTCAAAAGCTTTTATTGGTGGTGTCTTGTTGTAGTCTCCAAAAAGTTACTTATTGGCCAATTATTTGAACCATCTTTCGCTTCTGTTACTTTTAGCAATTAGTAAAGCTATATTGATTCCGTACTTTGTTTACATTTTCTAAATTTTATTACGAATAATTTTATATTCAGCGCTTCAGATTATAATCATGTAACATGCTCTCAAACCACATGCTCGAAATCCATTTTTCTCAAACATTAATAAACTCGTGGTTGTCTGTTCTAACGAAAAAAACACTTTTTTAGGCAAAATTTGCCTTTATAGGAAACACCTATATCTACATAGAGGTTGAAATTAGGTTTTGAATCTTTACACATTGCCATTTTTAATAAGCTTATTTAACTGGGAAATATTCTATAATAAATTGGTGCCGTATATAAATCATATATACCAAATTGAACGATATCATCAAAACAATGGACAATTTAACCAATACACTCAAATTTGATTTATTTTATTCAGCTGAGAGTTTTAAAGCTAAATCGCAATTTTGTAATATTATCGTTAGTACGAATAAAAGACATTTGTCTAGCTGCTATCATGTATAAAAATTTGCATCACTTTTCAATTGATATTATTCCATTTTCCTTGGTAGATTTATTCTATTTACGTTTCATCAAATCACTTATTTCACTTTAAATCAACTTGTATTACTTGCACTTGTGTGTGTGTGGTTTTTTTTTTGTTTTTCTTGTTTGTTTTTTACGGTGCACCAACAAAATTTAGGTCATTTGGCGCCGAAACAGTAAAGTTGCTTTTTTGGCTAACTTCAGGTGCTCAACTTAATGCAACACTAGGTGTCAAAACCACCTCACCTGCTGGAGCTAAGAGATGTATAGACTCTAATAATTTGAACCCATTTAGTTGCCTCTTATGATCACGTAGGGACAATACTGATGCCTCTACCCTGAAAGGCAACTCTTCAGCCACAAGAGGTACAAAGGTACTTTGTAAAAAAAATCAAAATATAATTGCAACCATTAAGTAGCTTAGTGTTAGTAAAGTCGGCATTAATTCCATTGATGCTGCCATGCGACTGCGACGCACCAGACAAATTTAATTTCATTAATGATGAAGTCTAACAAACACTTATCTTTACTAATTAGGTACTGTATAACCTATGCATACAAACTGTTCGGCTTTGCGGTATTCATGGCATGATTTTAAGTCATTAATTAATGTTTGTACTTATCCATTTTTAGTGTCAAACATTCAGAAGTACACTTAAAACACAGGTGTTAATGTTAGAATGTTAATGATTTAATTAATTAACTTAAATTCTTTGTATATAAATCAATTACCGATTTCACTTCCCGTGATGGATAGATCACAGTTGAATTGATGTACTTTATGAGTTACATGGAACAATTTATTCAAATGTTACGGGATTTCTAAACAATCATTCAAAATTTGGGCTACTAACCCTATACAGCCTATGTCAGACAAGGGTGATCACATTCGGTTAAAGTTGGCTAGCGGTTAAAATTGCGCTATCAATTGTATACAGTCTGGTTTTATACAAGGGTGATCACATTCGGTTGAAGTTGGTTAGCGGTTTAAATTGGGCTATCAATTGTATACAGTCTGGCTCTCACAAGGTTGATCACATTCGGTTAAAGTTGGCTAGCGGTTAAAATTGCGCTATCAATTGTATTCAGTCTGGTTTTATACAAGGGTGATCACATTCGGTTGAAGTTGGTTAGCGGTTAAAATTGGGCTATCAAATGTATACAGTCTGGCTCTCACAAGGGTAATCACAGTCGGTTAAAGTTGGTTAGCGATTAAAATTGGGCTATCAATTGTATACAGTCTGGCTCTCACAAGGGTGATCACATTCGGTTAAAGTTGGTTAGCGGTTAAAATTGGGCTATCAATTGTATACAGTCTGGCTCTCACAAGGGTGATCACATTCGGTTGAAGTTGGTTAGCGGTTAAAATTGGGCTATCACTTGTATACAGTCTGGCTCTCACAAGGGTGATCACATTCGGTTGAAGTTGGTTAGCGGTTAAAATTGGGCTATCAATTGTATACAGTCTGGCTCTCACAAGGGTGATCACATTCGGTTGAAGTTGATTAGCGGTTAAAATTGGGCTATCACTTGTATACAGTCTGGCTCTCACAAGGGTGATCACATTCGGTTGAAGTTGGTTAACAATTTAAATGTATTCTATTATATAGTTTAGATATTGACTTCTGTTGGTGTTGGTTAGTATTAGCAAATGATAAAAGACATGTCAAATAGCCCTATAATCAAAATCACTTTAAATTCGTACCAGAAATAGATCATCACATTTCTAATAGCATTGACATTTTATTTCTAATAATGAAAATTGTTAATTTTAAAAGTAATTAATATTTCACAAATAGCTTTGCCCATTTAATAAGTTAAATCATTTGTGTAGCTATTTCAAACATTGCAGGTTTTTGTGTTGTGTAAGTAATACTTTTCAAAATGCACAATACAAGATAGAATTGAGTATTTTCT